AATTTCCGACGAGTTGGAATTCTGTGTCTATCGCCTTATAGCCTGTTATAGCCTACCAATCAGCATTCAGATTTTACATTCTGTTCTTCTTCTCCGCTATAACCAGGGCCTCGTAACTGCTGGTACCACCGTTAGTGGTGCCCTCACTTTATGTCATCCGGAAATATGGAACTAATATTCAATATGGCTGTTAAAATCAATATGGACGCGTTATCTACAAGGTGTCACAAGGTGTTCACGTGTGTTTTGGTGTGTTTGCGTGGACGACTCGAGTTTAAATATCTCTAAGAGTCTGTTTAAGTGTCTCTATCTCCCTCTTCATCCCTCTCTCTCCATAGAGCGATCACGAACAATACACGTGAGTATACAGTAAAAAAAACATAATAATTTTGTATAAACAACTGATATAGTAATATTGTAATATTAGAACTTAAGATGGTGCGAGCCTGTTGTATCCCGGGATGTTTGTCGGGACAAAACGTTCCATCTCATATGTTTCCAAAAGATATTGAACGCCACAAGCAATGGTTTAAGGAATTGAACATGAAAGTAATAGAGGACGAAAAAGAACTTAAAAAATTAAGAATTTGCTATCAGCATTTTCGTAATGAAGATTACACTAATTCTCCAACAAGAAGAACTTTAGAACGAAATGCTATTCCATCTATAAATATACTGCAACATGCAGATGGTATGAATGTCGAACATATACTACAACACACGGATGGTATGAATGTCGAACATATACTACAACACACGGATGGTATGAATGTCGAACATATACCACAATACACGGATGGTATGAATGTCGAACATATACCACAACACACAGATAGTATGAATGTCGAACATATACCACGACACACAGATGGTATGAATGTCGAACATATACCACAACATGCAGACATTGAACATGGTGAACAACATACTAATACTGTTCAAGAAATATTGGCCCAACATAGCAGTCAATTGCAAAAGCATGAACAAGTAATAATGCAACAACGAAATGATATCCAAAATATGAAGAAGACATTGTCTAATCAAAGACCTATTCTTGGTGAAGTTACTCGTGTACATTTATTGAGTCCTACTGCTAAGAAATTGTATTCAACGGTTATTGCAATGAAGCGAGCCAAAAGACGGCTAAAGAGACTTTTTGACAAAGGAGGAAAAAGGAAAAGAATACATACAACTTCTAAAAGAAATACTGATTCAACGGCACAGATTAGACGGAATTTTATAAATATGCTCCAAAGAAATAGTGATGTAAAATCACAGGTATATACATCATCCCTTTAAATTGACCTTATTGTAATTATCATATCATCATGTTTGATATTTATAATATTACTAGTTGTTTATTAGTTAAAGAAGAATAGAAAAATGTAAACCATTTCTTACATATTTTAAAATATTTTTACGATATTTTTCAATGATATTGATGTCTAGATAGAGATTTTACCTTCTCATTTCTATTCTATTTGTTTTTGAAATCATTGGCTGCGTTCAGCAGACTCAGCAGATTTGCAACCGTTTTATGATTCATCGTGCTGATTGGTTTATACTTTTAGTTTTAAAGGAATAGTCCAATCTGAGCGAAGAATCATAAAACGATTGCAAAACTGCTGAGTCTGCTGAACGCAGCCATTGTTTATTTGATTATTTTTTTTTATTCGAATTGTGGTTCAATTTTTTAGAGCATTATTTTCTCTTCTTTAAAAAACTTTATTACTACAATAAGTTGATTAAAAAAATTTTTGTAAATTATACAATTATGCAATTGCGTTTTTTTTCTGCAATAACAGGGTAGACGTTATACAATTCAAGACAAATTATTTTGCTTAGGAATTTACCGCAGATCTACGGCCGCATATAAATTTATTTCTAAATATTTGCCATGTCCCTCCATATCTACTTTAGATAAGCAATTGCAAAAGATTGCTCTTCATTCTGGATGCAACAAAATCATTGTAAAATATTTGAAAGTAATTGCTAAAGAAATAAATCCCAAAGATTTAAATGTAATGTTGATATGGGATGAAATGTCATTGAAACCTTTTATTCATTATGATAAAAAACAAAATAAAATAATTGGATTTGAAGACTGGAGCATTCAAAGAACTAGAAAATTTGCTGATCATGTTATTGTATTTTACGTTCGATGTCTCGCATCTGGCAATCATATGCCTCTTGGATATGGATTTTGTCAAAGTACAACTCGAACTGTTCAATTACTAAACTGTATAAAACAATGGTTAACAGTCCTCATTAACTGTGGTTTTAAACCAAGGGCAACGGTATGCGATCAAGGAGGAACAAATATGGCAGCTGTTAATATGTTCGTAAAAGAGAGCAATGATGTACGACGTCGTTAGCGTAAGAATCCAAGTAAGTAAATCGTATTTAATATTTAATTTCATTAATGAAACAATTTATTACTTAATTTAAATAATGTATAACTTAATAAAATTATTTTTATGTATTAATTATGTGTGAGATATAATATATGCTGATAAGCTTATTTTATGTCGTAGAAAATACATTTCTGTTCAAAAATCATGAGATCATTCCTCTCTATGATTACGTACACCTTCAAAAAGGTATACGAAATAATTTGTTAACAAAAGATTTGGTTAATAATAAATATGAGAAAGAGTCACAAAAACAATACGCATCATGGAAAGATATTATAATAGCATACGAAATGGATAAATATTCGCTTTTGACACAGCGACAGATGCCAAAAATAATTGATCGACACATTTACGCCAATCAGATTCCAAAAATGAAAGTTAAATATGCCGTACAAGTAATTAGCCATACTTTTGCAAATTTCATTGATTTGGTGATCACATGAAAAAAGGGTAAATTGCATTTATTATAAAGTTATGAATGAAAATAATGTAATGTAATGTAATAATTAAATTATAATTAAATAATATTATTTAATTGTAATTTTATTACATTAAATAATAATTATAATTAAATAATAATGTATAATAAAATTTAAAAATATAACACAATTAAAATAAAAATATAATAATATAATAATATCGTAACAATTAATAAAATACATAAATATCTAACATTATAAAAAAATTATTAAATATTAAAAATAAAAAAATATATATGTATATATAATAAAATAATACTAATAACATTTTTAAATAATGGTATAAAATATAATAAAATGTAAAATACTCTCT